CGAATGAACAAGAAAAATAGAGCACTAACTCAATGGCTGATCGAACAAAACAAAGATGGCTGCATATAAATTCAATTCTATCGTGATCATTCTTGATTTCTTCTGGCAATCGATTACCATCAAGACTTCGAAACCCTACAAATATTTAAAACATATTGCATTAAAAAAATTGTAATTATATAACTTTCATCAGTATTTATCGTGTGCTTACCGTTTTCAGTTATATAAACTTTGGGATTACCGTAGTTTTTCTTGAAGTACTCTAGTACATCTAATATCCCTCTTGGACGATAGTATACATCCCCACATGGCTTCATTTATAGCAAGAAAATAATAATAATTAACTAACTTACATAAATTACTAAATTATATATGTGATTAAACTTACGCATGGACTTATTGGACCGTCTTCATTAACATCTGCAAAAAAACAATATTCTTAGCTATTATAATACTTTCATAAAAATGTATGTATCCCAAATATTTATCATAAATAACAAGGATTTGAAGAAAACTTTTCTTTTTTTGGTTAACGTATGAAAGTATATTAAACTAGCTATTTGGATAATCAAACCGAATAAACAAAGTTTATGATATTAAAATCATATATAAAAATCTAGCACTATGAACCAAACAAAACTTACAAGAAAGTTCGGTTTGTGAATCTGTCATGACATTGAGCCTATTAGGATCAACATTTGGAATACTTCTTGCAAATTGTGTCATGTAATAGTTGATTCCAATGAAATCATATGATCCTTTAACAAGTGATGCTTCTTTTGCAGTAAACTGTGGAAGCCGCTCTTTTAATATTTGTTTCATGATCAATGGATAGTCTCCTTTTGTTAGAGGATCCATAAACCTGTAAAAATATATATATGTCTCTATTATTTTTAGATTGTAATAAAGAAAACAACTTAAAAACTAGGTGGGGAACATATAGAATACCATCCGTGGAAAAACTCTTTGGCTCTCTCGGTTGCTTTAAGATTTTCGTCTGAGTTATTATATGGAAGAAACCATCTAGTTATCATTGTAATTCCAATTTCTCCTCCTTGAATTCGCTGTTGTTATAATAACATATATGTATTAGTTAGAGCCATGATAGGGTTAATGTTCTTCAGCCTTTTCAAATAAACGACTGAAACTTAGACTTAATTCATGGAGCATGTGAAGTGTCATATATTTTTGCAATTCAAATCATTCATTGTGGTAAACTACTATTGAAAATCGTTGTGAGAGAACTCGAACTATGGTCTTTTAACTTCAAAATGAGACTTCCAACCGTTGAACAACCAAAATCTGATATATTTCTTTTGTAAACATATCTACGAACCTGGAATTTTTGTTTATAGAGATCTACGACAGTAGCATGAGCAAGAAGGACATTATGTGCAACAATGTAGGGTTCAATAGTAGAATCTCCTGCATAACAACTTCTGTTAAGCCAATCGGAGCATCTTCCAGGTGCATCTGTGCCGGTTGCATAGCCTCTCGTAGGAATAGTGTAAGGTTGATTTATCGTAATCCAGTTCTTGACTCTATCGCCAAATCTTTGAAAACAAATAATTGCGTAGTTTCGAAAATCTTCTCTACACACAATTTATAATATTAGGAAAAAATATCAAATGATTGAAAATAGTCAAATTTAGTGAATCGCACAAAACATAAGAAAAATGAGTACATAATTTGATGGTCCAAAAAGCCTTCATATTCATCTTGCAAAGTTTGAGGAAGATCCCAATGGTAGATGGTGACGAAAGGTGCAATGCCTAGGATAGGACATTGCAACATAACTTATTTAAA